TTTGTATGCTTAAGGTGCGTGGTGATTTGTGTACTTAAGGTGCGCCATTTTAATGCTTAAGGTGCGTCATTTTAATGATTAAGGTGCGTCCAATCACACAACCGCATTGAAAGTCATTCCCACACCTGAACCCTTCCATATATATATATATATATATATATATATATATATATATATATATATATATATATATATATATATATATATATATATATATATATATATATATATATATATATATATATATATATATATATATATATCATGGATGCGGTAGGCGTTAGGCGCTAGTCGGGCGCCAGGACAGCGCCTAGCGCCTAGGCGGAATCTAGGCGGCGCTAGACGGGGTCCAAAAAAACAGTGGTAGACTTGCAATTTGACAATTTTAATGAGGTTGTTTTTAACATTTAATCAAATAACACGTCCAAATAAATGAATTAATGATAATTCATAAGTCATAACATCAAAACAATGGTTTTCAAAAAAAAAAACATTAAAACAATATTAAAAATTAAAAATACTCAAATACTTCAATTATCCAAAGATTCAAAGTATCAAACTAGTCTACCAGTGTATATATGTCATATTATATATATGTATGCGCGCGCACACACACGCACATATATATAATAAAAAAAATAGGCCGAGCCGATCGGGTTAACTCAACCGAAATGGACAAGTTAACTCGACTAACTTAGACGCTAGGCGGCTAAATCGGCCGAGTTAGGCGCTAGGCGGACGCCTAAGCGGCCGGTAACCTAGGCGGGCGCCTAGGGGAAAAATCGCCACGGTCTAGAGGCGCCTAGCGCCTAGGCAGGCGCATAGACCGATTTTTACAACCCTGATATATATATATATATATATATATATATATATATATATATATATATATATATATATATATATATGTTATAAAGCAGTGTGCACATACAAAGTCTAATACAAATTGCGTTCAATGAGTACTCATAAACTAACAAGTTGAATAGATATGTCTGGCCAATTCATCCTTGATTCCAAAATACATCTTAATCACACTAGGAAAGCCATGCGTGAGAGTATGTTTGGTGCACATGTATGAAGTTGATGAATCAAGATCAAGGAAATCTGTCAAAAGCATGAAATGTTTTTTCAATCTCATTGCTTCTTTTTCATGATTTGAACTTAGGTTATTTTGGAATGAAAAGAAAAAAAAAAAACCATATTCCATGACATTCTATTTTCATCTATCTATTTACACTTAGAAATAGATTAAGTGTAATGTTTGGGATGAGCATGTGAACAAGGTTCTTATGTATTACAATTCTACTATTGATGGACCACTTATTGTTCCGATTTAACTTTGTCGGGTAAAGATTCTGGATAGTGACTTTATTTGGTGATTTCTGTTCAATTTATTGTATATTTAAAAATAACAATCTGTAATATCCTTTTCAGATGATGAAGTACCTATTGCAAGTTCATTTAATGCTATGTAGAACCATGGCTCACCAGAGTTTGAAACTTTTAAGAAGAGGTTTATGATGACATTTGTTAGCATTATAGTTCGCTCTTTTTGAGTTTCTTTGACCATATTTTCCTTATATATATCAGTTTTACAACTGAGCACACACCATTGAGGAGTATAGATTTTGCAAATAGACTATATGTGGGTAAGTCATATGGATTTTCTGATCTGATTACATTGTGGTGACAACTACTGAGGAGGTGTACGCAAGAAAATAGGTAAGATTGTGTTATGGATAAGATTAAAAAAAAAAAAAGAACTTTTAATATGATTACTAATTTCATGTAACTTAATATCTCTTTTACAGATGAGGAAATATTGGATTGCAGCTAAGATTGTGAGAATTGAGAGTTAGTGGAATGATATTGGGTCGTTTACCAATTTGGAAAAATTGAGGATTTTTTAGAAAAATAGAGAAATTGAGAAGTCGAAAAAATAAAAATTGTAGAAGTTGTTTACTAAATTTTTTCTTCCAAATGCTTACTCATTCTCTATTTTCCAACCTCATGTACAGTTTTGGAGAAAGAAAATTTGAACTTCTCTAAATGGGAGAATGGAAAAAATTTGGGTGAACAGTACATAATGAGAGAGAACTGCTGATTGAATCCTTATCTGCACATTCGAGAGGTCTTTATATTATTAGTTGTTCAATCAAGGTAATATTTTAGAATTGTTTTGGAGAGGATGAGCCTAATAGCTTTTACTTGGAAGGAGATCATGATGAGGAGATTGATAACAATGTGGCAGGTTCTCTAAAGGGGTAGCCTAATGTATGAATATATGTCAATTGAAGTTGCTAAGAGGGCTAAGGATACTGTCATCAAGATGGAAAATAATTAGTAGAATTTTATGTATAATGTTTGAAACATTATTCTGATTTTTTGTGGTAATGTGGTTTGCATTATTGTCAATGTGGTAGTATATGGATTAGAATTAAGACCAATATGTTTAGTATTTATGTATTTTTGGGTTGCTATGATTGTTATTACGAGATAACTTGTGATTCTTTTGTGTGGACAGTTTTTGTTAGCTACAACTGTTTGAAATGAATTCTTATTTTGATTGAGACAAAGAAACAGACCGTAAGCTGGTATGTCTACACATATGAGAGCAGATTAGTGCTTCTTGCTTGAGGAATGCAATGTAAGACTTTTAAGGGATATCAGATATTATTTCTAATCTTCTCTATTAGCATTTTCAACTTTTGTTTTGTTTTCTCTCTGTCTGTCTGTCTCTGTTGGATACCATGGATGAGATACTATATCTCCTGTAAAATCAATATCAGTGAAAATGTAGTGAATGATGCTAGCAAATGGAAATTAATCAGGATAGTGAATGTGAACGTTTCTGTTTTAGCATTTTTAGCCTTTCTTTAGGATGGTCTAAAGTCAAATTTTATTCAACTTGTGATTTTCATCTTGATACTCTACATTATAAAGCTTTAGAATGTGTATAATATTCTGTCTTTCTAAGGAGAAATTACTCTGTTTAATAATGAGACTAAGTAATTTTGGAGATGAGGCATCCTTAAGATCTCAGATCTCTTGGTCATTATGGTCCATGTATGTGAGAGTACAATACTTTTTTCCAGTTGCACATTGATGGTCATTATGGTCATTATTGTTGCAGATAATGAGCTCTGTTAGAGTTAAAATCCAACAAGTATCCTCCGTCATCTTCATTCGAACAACTAGGACCACTTGAATTGTTACAAAATGCGCTCAATGAGATTATTTATACTTATTCCACCTGCCAACGGACGGTGGAGATCTACTTAATTGTATGACTATAATTATATCTCTAAAATCCTCCCTAAAATTCTATACAATCATATGAGTTTTATAATGTTTTATAAGATTTTATAAATCTCTACACTTCTTTTATATATATATATATATATATATATATATATATATATATATAGCTTCAATTGTACACATTCTTCTCTTCGAAGTTGTATTGAGAGGTCGTTTGGATTATTGGAGAAGAGATGGAAGATACTTGCTAAAATGTCACAGTTTAGTATGGAAACCCAAATTGATGTTATTATGGTCACATTTGCATTACATAATTATATTCGGAAGAATTCGCAACATCCACATTACATACCGTCCGATGAACTTCAAGATTCAAGTAGTAATATCTCCATCAACGAAAATTTAAGTGAGACCTCTTCTTGATGTAGTTTATTTCCCTATCCTCAAAAGTTCCCTCACCATCCTCCCGAAGCTTATGCTCTTGCAATTTCATCAGGAGTCATGAACGATGGGTTCATCTTAATTGATTTCTTCACCGAAATTATTAGAGGCATTTCTCTTTTTACCCTTTTTTTTTTTTATCAAAGATCATATCAACACACAGTGAGATATTGGCTTTCATAGTGAAAGATGCATCTTTTCTGGTTGCACATAGTACTTCTAAAGAAGAACTAACCAAAGTTTCAGTCTTTCATCAGAGACACATAGTAGTATGCTTAGCCTATCGAAAGGATCCTGAGTTTCAAACCATAGTGTAATAAAGCAAAAGTGAATCAAATTGTAAAGCTTTCGCAGAATCATAGCCCTTTGCTTTCAAAAATCATACACCCCTATTTCAAGGAGGGAAACCCTTCAAATACAAAGACCAGAGATTTTGGTTTCGAAAAAATGAATGGATATTAAATATGCAGAATGAGTGGAACATGAACAATATCAAACGAGAATTCGAAATCTTCTCCGGCATCCCAAACGTCACCTGAGCAATGTATACCACCCATGTTTCAATGGTTGCCTCAAAAGTGTCCACCGTCAAGTACTTCAACAAGAGCCATACAGAGCAAAACCAAAAGACATCATACTCTATTACAGTTAAAGGCGGTGGCTAAGGAGGCGTTTATGCAGCTGAACTGCTGAAGGCGCGGTGCAGCTGCCTGCAGAAGGTGATTGAGGTGAAGTAATTAAAAATGCCACATGACAAATCAGCTGGCAAGGTAACTGAATGATAACCTGAAAAACTGGAAAATTGAAAAAATTGCATGATATGAGTTAGTATAGAGACCTAATTGTATGTTTTTTGAGTTCAGTGGTCCAATTGCAATTGTGTATGTACTTCAGTGACCTATTTGCCCCTTATTCCTTATTTTTATAATAATTACAATTATATTATTTTACATTTTTCTATATTTATTTTAGTAATAATATAATTACATAAATCATATTACATATCAATTTTTTCAAAATAGTTGCAGACAAACGAATCATATATTATTTATTTATAATTAATTGAGTAATACTTTACACTTATTTTATAATCAAATAAATGTACATTTTCAAATATTAAAATTGTTTATAATTTCATCTTTAAATTTGTTATAATAAAAGAATTTCAACGGCGCATCACACGGGTAAGATACTAATGAGAGAAAATTGAAAGTACATGTAGAATTACTCAAGAAAAAATACCTGAAAAAAAATAGTCAATTACTTCATAAAAGATTAACCACACACACATCTGCTTAAGCTTTGAATTAAGCAGCGTAAGAAAAGTGGGAAAAGTAGAAAATAGAAGCATACGTGGTTGAACAAGAAACACAAATTTCATCCAGAAGAAGCCAATCTTGAATTTCAATTTCTAAACATCACATTAACAATAGAATGCTGGAGTGCATTCTAGTGATTCGACTATACTATACTAGACTCTCAATGATGGAAATCCAACCTGAACTACCGTTACAACTTACAAGACTTTCTTGAATGAACTGAAAAACACCCAAAAAAAAAAACAGAGGAAAGAAGAGCGCCATCTCTTTTTATCCTCTTCACCACTACACTAGCAATGCCCTTGCCCGCCATTTGTTTGAGCAGATCAATTTCATTATGCCTAACCCTTTCGTCTCCTATCCCTACCCCAAACTTCCAATCTTCTCTTTCTTCATTTCTGTATAGCTTCAGGCCCAGGAGGCTCCGCTGCTTCAAACCATGTTCTTCACTCAAAGAAACCAGGAAGCAGCAGACCCTTTCCAAGATTCCCTCCAGTGCCCCCCAGAGGCTAAGGAAACTCTCTAATTTGGGGACCAAATGGGAGGACGATAGTATTGATCGTGGGGATGGGGACACTGCCGCCGTTAAAGGTACCCTTTTGGCTGCTCTTTTACTTGTGGGTATGGTTGGTGGATTTGGGACCGTGAGTTACCTCTACAGAGACCAGATCAATGATTTCTTGAACCAGCTATCTATCTTCATTGAAGGTATATTCAAATAAATAACATTTCCATTCCCAATTCGCCTGTATTTTTTAGGGGTATTTGTTAAATAACTGTTAGTTGATTGAGTTACTAGGTTTAACTAGTTGATAGCATTAGCTGATTGTAGAAAAGTATTTAGTAGATTAGCTGTTAGCTAAGTCGATTGAAAAAGCTACTTTGAGCGACGTTTTCAATTTTAGCATTTTAGGTTGTTACAAAAAGCTAATTAATCAAACCCTCATATTGATTGTTTAACCAAGTCAAACAGCTAATAGTGGTTAAATAAGTCAACATTGACGGATAGGCTAACTATTTTACCAAACATGCCTATATATCTGTGTCCGTGTTTGTGTGTGTATGTTTGCTTGGTTGTTTATAGTTGTTACCTGAAATCCCAATTGCCTCATTGTTCCATGTAAATGGTAGGTGTAATGAGAATTAACTCAAGGAATTTTGTCCTGGATACAATGGTTAGGGGTGAGATGGTCATCTGGTCAAGAAGAAAGTGATTTTGAGTTAGCCTGAACAATGGAAGCTTTTGAATTTACTTTTTTTCCCTTTAAAAATGGCAGTTGCCTCCCCCCTCATCCTTCCCTACCCCCTTATATATTTGTGTGTATGTATGTATGTATGTATAGATGTCAACTCAAATGCGGCCATGCCTTAACGTGCGGTCAGTGCGGCCGCACCATTAGGTATGTAAAAACGCACCAATCATGTTAGAAAACGCACAACAATGAAATGCACCACAAAACGTACCACACATCCAAAAATATGCACCATACCTCCCCACATCTAATTGTGCGTTTCCGAACACTGTATCGTGCGTTTATGCATACCAAATGGTGCGTTTTGTGGTGATTCGTACCTAATGGTGCGTTTTTTGGTGCATTTTTGTTGTGCGTTTCCTAACACTGGTGCGTGTTTGCATACCTAAGGGTGCGGCCGCACTGGAACTTGGCTCTGTATGCATAGTAACTTATATATAAAAACAAAATGTATATGCAAGTCACCAGATGTTTATGTAGCTTAGTTGGTTGTTCCTTAAGATTTGATACCATATGTCATAGGATCAAGCTATTTTGTCATAGACATTAATTCATTTGAACTACACCCCCACTCAAAAATACTCCCAGATCCGCATGAATTCAATTTGATTTTAGTTTTGTGAGTCAAATGTCTGTTTCACAATGCATCAAATTAATATAAAATGTGAAATTAGCAAACGTCTAGCCTCTGTGGTTCATGTTCAGTTGAGTTACCATAATTTACATCCTCCCAGATGCTCTGTCGGGCCGGGGTGTGTGGGGCCTTAGGGTTGGGGTTCAACCTTTTGGAAAGAATATAAAATGTGATGAAATTAGCATTTATTGCCCTTGACAACAATTAGTTTACTCAACAGAAGTACCAGATTTGTAATTGGTGTAAAGGTTTTGAAGATATTTTGCTACATTGTTCAGTTTTCCCTTGAAAGGAATATGTTTTTACTTGAGCTTCTCTAAGGCTTTCTGCATGACAGGTTATGGACCAGCTGGATATGCACTTTTTGTTGTGGCTTATACTGGGTTAGAGGTAAGATTCAATACATCTTCATTCTCTGTTTATAAGTTGTACAAAATTTGTTACTTTCGTTAGCTCTGTGAAAGTTATAATTTTAATCTATAAATTTGCTATCTTTTGGTCTAGATCCTTGCATTACCAGCAATTCCTTTGACCCTCTCTGCTGGTCTTCTGTTTGGTCCGGTCACTGGGACCATTATTGTCTCCATCAGTGGAACGGTACGGTTTCTGAATTTCTAGTATACATCCACTAAGAATTGGTTCTGGTTACCTAATACTTGTGTTCTTCCCTTTCTTTAAGATGGCTGCAAGTGTTGCATTTCTGATTGCTAGATATTTTGCTCGTGATCGCATTCTCAAACTAGTTGAAGGGAACAAGAAGTTTCTTGCCATTGACAAAGCCATTGGAGAAAATGGTTTTAAAGTTGTTACTCTTCTACGCTTGAGCCCTTTGCTTCCATTTTCTCTTGCGAATTATTTGTATGGACTTACATCTGTCGAGTTTGTGCCGTATGTTTTGGGAAGGTCTGTTGGCTATTTCATTCTCATGTCTTAAAATCCTGTCATTTGGTTTAACAATTGAAAGACTTTCTGCTTGGAGAATTTCTCTAAGTTTCACTTCTTATGTGCAGTTGGTTAGGTATGCTACCTGGAAGTTGGGCTTATGTGAGTGCGGGTGCACTTGGCCGTGCAATTATTGTGAGTAATTGCTTCATTTTTGTGTTCAATTAATGCATGAATGTTATTGCTGCAATGCGGTTGATGCCACATTTGTTATTTTTTGGGGGTGACGAGGAAAACCTGCATCCACTACTCGAGGGTGTGCACTGGGTAGACCCCGCCTTGTGACCTTAGCTAGCAAAGGACCACAAGGTGGTAAACCAGCCTGGGTTGTCCATAGTTGACTGGCTCAAACCAGGAAGGTGGAATTCGAACTCGTGACCTTGTGGTTACAAGTTTGTATCCTTAGCCATCTTGGCTGGGGTTACCCCTTCTGATGGCTTAATATTGTAATGACACCGGTTAAAAAGTTCACTCTGATAATTTCTTCTTCAAAGAAGATCTTGAACTGAGATTCTATAATTTTTATAATTTTATTATCAATATATATATTTTGGGATTTCCAGCAAGAAGAATCTGAGATTTCTCTTGGGGGAGGGAACGGTGTATTGACGCTTGGATTAGGCCTATTGATTACTGCAGTAGCTGCAGCTTACATAACTCGGCTCGCTAAGGTAAACCTGCTGATATATTGTTCTCTATTTTCACTTCCACTTGCACTTAATTTGCAGTATCTCTTTGTTCCGATTCTCATTTAACTCTGATCTGTTCTCTCTGAGCCAGGATGCTGTAAAGGATATCGAGTAGAGGGCGGGCAGGAATAGTTTCTGCATCATTAACTATGGTATATATTCACTTGTTTGTTTATGATATGCCATGTGTAAATTGAAATCTGATCATTTATGAAACCAAATACATAGTTTGATCATTTTTCGAGTTGAAAATAAGCTGTTATGGGGTGGGGATTAATGGAGGGTAATGTGCCAATTTTGTTGTTTAGGAAGTGGGTAAAGGAAAGAGAGCAATGTGGAATTAATTTTTTTGTAAGTTTGAACTCTAAATTTACGGGTCTCTTACTACTCTTGCCCTGGAGATTGGCGAAGGAGCGAGATTGGTGATGGAGATAAATCGCGAAAGGTTTCTCAATTGGTCTACAGTTATGCTAGCTAGGAGCAAATTAATCTTTTTTGTGTATAAGTGTATTAGTCTTCCTTTTTGGTTGCTTTGTATTTGCTCAAATGTGGTGGATTCTTTAATAAGAGTTCCCTCATCTCCTTTAAACTTTTCATCTATGATTTTGGAGAAAGAAGCTAGTAATGTAGGGAAATGGAATATTGGTTAATGATTTTTGTACAACTTGTTTTGTTTGCAATGAATTTTTTTTTTCTCAATAAATCCTTGAAGTTGTCAATGGAGTGTTTAGTAAATAGTTGTTAGTTATTTGCTGATTGGGTAGTGGGTTTGAGTAGTTGATAGGATTAACTGATTATAGAAAGATGTTTGGTAAATTAGTTGTTAGTTGATAGCTGATTACATGTAAAATAACTTTCTCAAAAAGTTTATCGAAAATGATATTTTAAGTAACTTTTTAAATTTTAGCATTTTGAAGCAATAAACTGTTACAACAAATTAATTAATCAAACATTTATGTTAAATGTTTAACCAAGTCAAATAGCTAATAGTGTCAAATAAGTCATAATTGACTGATAAACTAACTATATTGTCAAACATGTCCAGTATTTACATTTATTTAGTGAGAAATGATTTTTATTTTCATTGAATTTTGAATTCCTAGAACATGACTAGATGAGGAGAAGAAATCCTTTTTGAGTATCTTAGAGTGGTGCGAGGATGTAGTTCAAATGTTAGAGTGATTGCTTTGCATGCGAGAGGCACAGGGTTTAATCCCCTGCATCTCCATAGAGAAAATAGAGAAAGTACATACTAAAGAGAATCAAACCAACACTAAGTCGAGATGACTAAAATATAAATTAAGTTCCCCACATACACAAAGTATATGTAATCTTGCATGTCATTGGAACCGTCAAAATGGGTTTAGCCCGTCCCGCCCCGTCAACAAAGTAGAGAATCAAACTAACACCAAGTCGAGATGACTAAAACTTAAATTAAATTCTCCACATAACACAAAGTAT